GGGAGGTGTTCATAGCCCAACGTTGTGGCCTGAGTTGTGAGGACATTGGGGTCGGCAGCACTGCAGGTTGCTGGTGCCCTGCATCTCGGTGCAGTGAGTGCCAATGAAGCCACACTCAGCCCCCACATTTCAGTGGGAGGACACTGCTGGAAATGATCTCTCATTGTTCAGCTGCATCTTAGCAGCTGTGTTTACAAGGTCACAGCAAATAGGCAGTACATACTCTAAAAGTGAGGTGTCTACATTAAAAGCATTAACAGCTGGTGACATCTAAATGCTGTGTTTTTGTACTAGGAAGCGTCTTTGAAACTGCATCTTCTGTTGTGATCTGCAGAACTGACCTTTCATATGGTGAACGTGACCCCTGGACATCCCAGAGAAGGGATTGCTGTTGCTTCCCTGGTTGCTGGCTGTCATGTAGAAGTACAAGGGGCTTCTAGGCCTTGGGCAATGTGGCAAAATGTGTGATCTGCAGCAGCTGGATGTTGCTTTCCACACATCAGTGGCCTGTCCCAGCTTTGATGGAGGGGTCTGTGGTGCTTCAGGGAAAGAAGGTCTGTGACATCCCTAAAATGAAGTTTCTTGCCATATACATTCTGCCATCCTCTCTCCACCTGATTTCATTCTTATTGGAGGAAACTACCCTGGCTAGTTCATCCTTCTGCAGAGGGGATTTAAGGATCCTCATCTGGGAGAGGCAGTGTGGCTGCTCCAGGTATCTCCCCTGCAGACTGTATCACAGCCTGGATAAACACTGCTCCTGACTCTGTGTGAGCATCATGGGGAGTCCCTGGGAACCAGCAGGGCCAGAGAGGGGGCAGGGGGCTCACTGAGGGCCGAGCACGTGCCTTGGTCACATATTTCCTGTCTTGGGAGCCCTGCCCTGCTCTGGAGGTGTTGGGAGACACTAGTGTCACCAGAGTCAGTAGTGCAGCACAGATGTTTCTGGCTGTGGCTGCGCAGCCTTCCCTGTCATCAGCTGTGTTCAAGTCCCCGCTGCCACCAGCTCCTGTTTGAGATCACCCAGGATTTATTTAGGTTATCTGATGAGGGCACAGTGGGGTTGCTATAAACCCACAGGGCACCCTCACCCGTGTCACAGAATCGTTTGTATTGACGGGGAAACGTTGCTGTGCCGGATGCACAGCTGAGGGGGTCGCCGTGCTCCTGTCCCCCGGGTTCGTGGAGATCTGGAGCAGGGTGTAGGTGTGGGTGCCTGTGTGTGGCCGAAGCTGTTGACGTTGAACAGTCGGGGATCTGCCCGCGGTTTCCTCGGGAGACGCGTGTGCATGGCAGGGCTGGAGCTGCCTCTGCTCCCAACAGCCTTCGGCGTGCTCCCGGGCCCGGGGCTGCTCTCCTTTGCCCGGGAGGGGCAGAGGTGGGGGGAAACCGGAGGGGTGGGGTGGCCTGGGGAGGGGCTGGGGCGGGCACGGGGGGTGGTGCCTCCATCGCACCGCCGGGGCGGGCGGGGCCGGCTGGGTGGGCTCAGCCGGGGAGGTGGTGGGTGTTCCGAGCGGGCGGTGGAGCTTTCCGCAGGAGCCGCAGCCGGTGAGTCGCCGCTCTGGCTGCCCCGGGGCGTTCGGGCTTTCCCGTGCCGTACTCGTCCTGTCCCCGCCGGGAAGCTCCGGAGCGGGAGGGCCGTACTACACGGGGCACCGCCGTCCCACTCCCCGGGCTCCTTTTTATCTCCTCTTTCCTTTCTCCAGTGACACCGCCCACGGTCCCCGGTGTGGGTACTCGCGGAACCGAGCCCTCGCCTCGCGTAGAGCTTCGGGTTTGCTACAAGGCGACTCCGCTTCGTTAATGCAGCCCCGCCGGCTGCCTTGCGCCTCCTCGGGAGATGGGGACCGAGCTGGTTGCAGTCCCTAGAGGCTTTATTCTAACAGGAGCGGGCTGGGGCTGGGGCAGCGGCTCCCGAGGGCGATGGCGGGGAGCAGCAGCCTCGGGATGTAGCGGTTCGGCTGCTCTGCCGATCTCGGATGGTGCTGAGCAGAGCCGCAGGTGCTTTCCCAGCTGCAGCCTCGGACCGGTGGAGGGTCCGTGGAGATCGATGCCTCCAGCACGGTCCCTTGGTATTGATTCACTATTCACCAGTGTGGTGAGAGCTTGTGTGTGAAGCTCAGCGGGGGAGCTTTGCATTGCTCAGAAATAGATGGCAGAGACCAGGTCCCATGTTAGTGCCAGGTGTTACTGCAGTGGAGAGCTGCTGGTATGTCTGTGGCACAGCACCTGACCATCTCCAGCCTGGGGGATTCTTACAGAAAGGAATTAGTCGGAGACCAACCAAGACACACAGGAGAGGACAAAACCACAGTGAAATGATTTCCCTTTCCCAGCTGCAGCTTGTTTTGTGCTGACTCATACATATCTCTTCAGATGCAGCCCTCTCACAGGGACACCTCTGAAAATTGGAGGAAGGTGTTCACCCCTGGATCTGCTGCATCCAAACACAAATCGTGACAGGATAATCATCGGTGTTAGGTAGGAAGACCTTTCATTCGAAAGTCCAGTTTCTTGATATCAGTCAACTTTCAGATTTGTGAAATCTTTGGGCACTTACATTTGGCTGTATTCCTCCCTGGAAAGAGCCTCCATGCAGCCCTTGTCCTGCAGTAATCTCATGGGTGGTTTGGGCTGCTGAGTCTTCCCACATTCCTGGCAATGCACGAGGCTACTGCTTGAGGCAGTCTCAATCTTGCCAGGAGGCTGGACTGGGTGGGCCCTGAGAGGACCGGTTTGGCCCTGCTTTTGCTTTCAGATGGTTGTGCATCAACAAGCCATCAGAGATGCTTCCAGCCTCTCAGTGTGTGTCTGGCTCCATTATGTGGTAGAAACTAAGTCCTCTTCCCAGACCCCATAGCCTGTCTCAGGCTGCTCCTGGTGACTCTCACAGACTCGGTTGTCATTTGCAGCAAGGGAAATGTCTGGAGAAAGCTCCAGGGACATTGTCATTTCTGGGCTTCGTGGTTGGCCCATTATGGGTCTACTAACAAGCAGAAAAGGGGTTTCAAACACAAGATGCAAACAGTATCTATGAGCTTTCCAAGACAGAGAAAAAGCTCTGAGATGATCAGTGGCCAGAATCAGTCACAGAGTGACTGGGGCTATTCTGCTTTTCTTCTGGGGACCCTTGGCAAGAGGAAAGGAAGCAAGAAGGATTAGATGGTGTCCTGCCAGTTGAGGGAACATCTCAAGTCTGTTTCCTGCCTCTCCCCTCACTGGTCAGGTGTGAGAGGTCATGGAGGAATCAGAACCCTTCTCTTGAGGAAAGGTGGGAGCTCTGTATGCACAGGTATCTGGGGAACTGGATCCTGAATTTAGTTCTTCCTGGCTGGAGTTAGTGCAAGCCGACTCAGTGACTGCTGCAGGTGTGGTGCCTCATCACTGGAATTGTTCAAGGCCAGGTTGCATGGAGACCTGAACAATCTGATCTGGTGGATGACATCCCCGCCCATGGCAGGGCAGGTGAAACTAGATGCTCTTTAAGGTCCCTTCCAACCCAGACCATTTTCTGATTCTATAACCCTCTCCCCCACATGCCTACATCAGCACAGGGAGGATTCCTGTTCATTGGAGTGGTTGGGACTCATGCTGGAGGGGCTGCAGTACCAGCCCATGCCTTACTATGCCAGCTTAGGGGACTGTTGTGCTTTAACCCCAGCCAGCAACTAAGCCCCACTCAGCAGCTTGCTCACTCCCCTACAAGTGGGATCAGGGAGAGAATCAGAAGAGAAGAAGCTAGAAAACATGGGTAGAGATAAAAACAGTTTAATAGGGAAAGCAAAAGCTGCATACACAAACAAAGCAAAGCAAAACAAGGAATTATGCTTCCACGAGCAGACAGGTGTTCAGCCACCTCCAGGAGAACAGGGCCCCATCACGTGTAGTGGCTACTTGGGAAGACGAATACCATCAGTCCATATGTCCCCCCATTCTCCTTCTTCTCCCCCACTTTATATGCCGAGCATGATGTCATATGGTGTGGAATATCCCTTTGGTCAGCTGTCCCAGCTGTGTCTCCTCCCAGATTCCTTGCCACGAGAAGAAGAAAAGGCCTCGACTTTGTGTAAGCCCTGCTTAGCAATAATATCAACATCTTTATATTATCATCGTCTTCAGCACAAATCCAAAACACAGCCCCATACTTGCCACTGTGAAGAATATGAATTCTACCCCAGCCAAAACTAGCATAAGGACTCAGGATAATTTCACTCTGCAGCAAGATCCTCACCTAGCACTGCTGATGGCTTGTCATACCTGAATATTTCCTCTATGGAGTCATATCGGGGTATGGGAATATCAAATAGATATTCCCATAGAGTTTGGGTAAACTGCTCTTGGTGTTCTCTTAATCCCTCAGACACCAGTGTCCTTCACAAACAAAATTTAAATGTTGACAGTTTCTGTGTAGTAAAAAGAGAAGCTAGAGGATAGCAAAGAGAGGGGATTTAGCACTTTTAGCTAGGTTAAAGCCCAGGCTGTAAGCACCTGCTGGTACCTCTCTGCAGAGGAGTCTGTGGATCTCTAGAGCTGTCGTGGCAGCACCCTGGGCCTCTCTGAGAAGCTACTCCTGGACAACAGTATCAGAAGCTGATGAATGACATACAGCTGGATGATGTGGGACCTTGCTCCTGCTGAGGGTATGCCAATCAGATTGGTAGCGGGAGAAAACTAAAATGGAGCTCTTGTGGGGGAGAGAAGTGGTGAAATGGAAAACACTGGTACCTGCTGTAGTGTCTTGGTACCACCACAGACTTTTGCATAGAGTTATTGGTCCTCAGGGGCAAATGAGATCAAGAAACCTGCCCTGGTAGAGTGGCTGAAACTGGCCTTTGGGCCAACTGCAGCTGTGTTGTGGTGGGAAGTGCTGATCAACTCTGCTGTGGTTCCAGCAACTGAGGTCCCACATGAGGCTTTGGAGCACTTGAGGAGGGAAGGGGTGATGCTGACAGTCCTTTCCATGCTGTTCTACATCACGGCTCCATCACAGCCTGCAGGAATTCAGTGCCTTTCAGATGAGTCTTGGGTCCAACAGAAAGAGGCTGCAAGAATATTGGAGGCTTCATATACATGGATTAGACTGAAAATTACCAGTAATTACGTTTAGGGTAATAATATCAGAGAGCTTTACTCAGATGCATTGGCCTCACTCATCACTTGGTCTTTAAATCAAAGTAAAGCACTTTTCAGAAAAAGATGCTTGAGCTCAACATCGGTGTGGCTGCTGGAGGTAGTCAGGGTGAGAGTCTGGTGCTTATGGGAGCTCAAAAAAGTACTGATCTCTTCTGGCCTCAAAAAGTCTGTTCTACATAGAAGGCACAACCTATAATATCCTTCCTGGTCTATTTTTGTTCTCAAACTTTATGTTTTCTGTCTTCTCTTGGCTGGTGAGTGGCACCTCTTGGTGCTAGTCAGGTACCCTCTCACCATATTAGACTGGCCTGAATTTCATTTCTGTTCGCTTGTAGGAGTAGTGGTATTCTTTGCCTGTCTTCCAGTTGATACCATCAGCGTAGCTCCCATGCACACCCATCCAGTACATCCCATTCAGGTTTGAGTAATGACAGTCATTGTACCACCACGCTCCTTTGTATTCTGTGGCACAGTTAAAGGAGCTCATGTCATTGTCCTGATCTGTTGTTGAAAATGGCATGTCCCCGTGGTATGATAAAGAGTCTCCTGCAGAGAACACACATTCACAGTTACTGCAGTAAGGATCACAAACAGGACCTTGATGTGCCTGTGCAACTTTGCTGGGCACCAGTGGCCCTTGCTGGGTGCAAGGCAAATTTTTTAAATCCCGCTGTAATCTTGCCCCAGTTGCCCAGGTTTCTTCCTTGGTTCTGGACAAAAGAAGTATCCTGAGCTCTGCCAAAACACACAGACAATTTGTCTATGCCTGTGAATCAAATGGGTCAGATTCTCCTCCCATGTACATAGGTGTCGCTTCTCTTGCACTGTTCAGGTTCTCTGCAGACACACTGGTGTCTGAAATACTAGACAGAATTGCAGTGTAAAAAGCCACATAAATGCAGTGCACTGGTCTCTCGGGTGTTGATTTCACTCATTCTTTTGTGAGGGATATTGAATTTTGAAGAGAATTTGGTTGCTTTTTAAAGAAAAGCAAAACATCAGGTATTAAGAGGATGCAGTGCTGTTGCTGCAACAGCTGAACAGCACCCCAGCCCTGGAAATGCCAAACTTTCTGGTCAAATATTTCCTGCCAAAGTAATCAAAAGCAGAACTTGACCTGGCTGCTACAGAGCTGTTGGGAAGGTCAGTTGGATTGGGTGCTGCTCAGGACCAGGCTCCACACTTTCTGTTAAACCCTGTGGCTGGGCTTGTAGGTAATGCTCTGGGTCACATCTCTGTGATGGGCGTCTCTTTCCTTCCCTGCACCTAGAGGTCATGCACTAGAGGTACCATGGCCAGTTTTAAAAAACTGTTTTAAAATGTAGCTGGTACAAGGAGTTTGCATGATTCAGCTCTGCATTATAGATGCCGAGCACTTCTGAAATGCTCTAGTAAAACAGACTTTCCCAGAGAGCTGCTTCAAACTTACCGGCATTTCCACCAAGGAAATCCCCTAGAACTAGTCTGTATTTCTCAGACTCTCCCAAAACTCTGAACGAAGCATACTTGGCAAAATAGTAGTTGTTCTCAAAGTCTCTCAGGTCAATGCGGAGTTCACAGGGTCCTAGAAGAGAAGGTTGGCAGCAGTGGTGCAGAGCTTATGGTGGATACATCCCTGGATGTCAGGGTGGGGGTTTTAATGAGCCGTGAGCTATCTTGAGAGGAGCTTCCACTACTTCAGAAATTATGTTTTATTTAATATTCCCACAGAACCTCCTCTACATGTGATGGTTTTCTTGGGAAGCACCTTTTCAGATATGATGGTGGGTGGTCATGAACACTGAAAGCTACATGCCCAGGACTCCTGCATACAGACTTCAAAACCTTCGTGTGGACAACATGAAGGATAACCAGTTTCAGTAGGAAAATGTTTTGGCCTGTCTCCAGGATAAATCGTGCAGCCAGCTCATTCTCTTTCTAGAATACTTGTTTGTTTGTTTGTTTTTAAGAATACAATTTCCTGTATGTAATAGTCTGCAAGAACCTACATTGGGATTAACAGTGGGGGGCATCAAATGGATGCAAGAAGCTCAGAGGTCTTTAATGATCCAATGTGGTACAGGCGTTGTACTCTCTTGGCCCCAGCCTGGGACAAAGGCAGACCTTACCCAGCGAGGTGAGGAAGTGGATGTTGTCGTTCCCCATCCAGAACTCTGTCAGCTGATTGCCAAAGCCTCGTTTGTATGAATCCCAGTCTCGTAAGAATTTCACTGACCCGTCCCAGCGCCTCTGGAAAACCTACAGGAAAGGAGACCCTCAACCACACCAGCTCATCCCTCACCCAAAGCGTACACAGCACTTAAGGTACACAGCCCCCTGCATCAGGACACTCCTGCGGGTCTCTGGGGAGCAAACCTCATAAGAGTCAGTAAGGGATCCCTCAGTAAGGGATGTCCTCCATCTGCCCTTGGAAATGAGGAGGAAATGATTTGCTGATTTAAGCAGGGAGTGGCCAGAGTCTGCTCCCAGAGACAACTCCTGGGAGATTCTCCTGCATCCACACAGGGACTCACACTGGCTTGCTGATGTGAACCTCAGCTGTCTGCTCAGTCTGTGTTTTCCTCCCGTTTGTTTCTACTTTGAAGCCACCATTTGCAGCCTTAACAAAAATCACTATTTGAACATAAAAACCTCCCTCTCTCATCCTACTCACAATCCATCCCCCACCATCTGTGTCCATGTCGCAGAAGACAGCTGTAGCATTGCAGCCTTGGGGGTAGATGGTGTACCAGCCGCTCAAGATCTTCCCTTTGCCCAACAGTTCTTTGCAATTCCTGGGTTCTGTGCAAATCAGAGAAAGAGATCAAGTGGAAGGAGTTGTAATGTGCTCACTGCATCCAGGGAGCACACCAGCCTCGAGGCTTGAAGCCCTTCAGCACTCAGCTAGCTCTTAACACTGCAGGACCCTGGCATGTGGCTGTTGGGAACTAAACCCTGCCATGATTTCTGAGTCCATATATTGCAGGGGAGATGGGCACCTTCCAAGAGATTGTCTAAGGTGCTCAGAGTTCTCTCATTCACAATGACTCTCTTGGGGGTCTGGGTGATGGAACTGCTGTGAGAAGGAATTTGTCCAGACTCCAAAATGTTTGGAGGACACAGAGAATGTATGTGGAGTTGTCAGGAAAGGAGTAGGGATACAGAGAAAGAGCTCCCTGGGATGCAGCGGTGAACAGCGTTCAGATCATCCTCTGTGGATTGAATCATAGAATCACAGACTGTTTTGGGTTGGAAGGAACCTAAAGGTCGTTTTGTTCCACCCCCATGCCATGGGGGTGGAGGGGATACCTTCCACTAAACCAGGTTGTTCCAAACTCAATCCAGCCTGGCCTTGAACTCTTCCAGGGAGGGAGCAGCCACTGCTTCTTTGGGCAACCTGTGCTAGTGCCTCACCACCCTACTCAAATAGTTTCGAGTGAAGAATTTCCTCCTAATATCTAATCTGAATCTCTCCTCTTTTAATTTTAAATCATTTCCCCTTGTCCTGTAAATGCCCATGTAAAAAGTCACTCTCCAGCATTTTTATAAGCACCTTTTAAGTACTGAAAGGCCACACTGAGGTTTCCCCAAGACAGAAAACACTTCTGAATATATATATATAATATATATGTATACATATATGTACATATTATGAATATTTTTTTTTTCCTTCCCCAAACCACATCTGCTAACAGAATCTCAGATTCACAAGTGACTGGAATGGTCCCTATTAGACAACCCAACCTACACCTACATTTGTATCTGTCATAGGGAAAGTTTTGGGAGATGATCTCAGATGGTGGTGCTGGTGGTGCAGGTGACCCAGTGTGCTGTCTGATGCATGGATGCACAGCTGTACCAGGCTGTCTTGTGGGCATGTGTGTCCATCCTAATGGAGGTCTGGTCCTGGACTTGGCCTTTTCCTTATTAGTCAAATGTTTTACATGCCCAGTAAACATAAAAGGGCAGAGGAGTGCCTGTAGGAAATGTGTTTCGGGGATGGTGGGTGATGCATCTTGGGATTGGTAGTTTCCAAAGCATACACACATGGGCAGTGTGAGTCCCATGGTGGTGGCTAGGCAAATCACATGTCATCCGAAGGTATAAAAGGTGCTGTTTTCTTCTAATAAATGGATTTGGTTGTTGGAAATCCATGCAGCCAGGTCACCTGCTTATTTATTATATTAATAAGCCATACATGGCGCCCTAAATGTGAGGGCTTCTCCCTGTAACAGGGAAACATAGACTACCTTGCAGCAAGGAAAATTGTGAGTGTGTTTGCCACTAGCTCGTTTTAGGGCTCAGGGACGCATACCGAGAAAAAAAACAGACTTCAGTGCAGAACGTGGCTGAAGGACACAGAACTGAACCGAACTCGAAAAAATTGAAAGTGCACGTGCCAGGGGAAGAGTGGCGGAGAACAAAAAACCAAGAGGATGTGGAGAAGAAAAGCCGAGAAAGCAGCAGTGAACGCGAGCCGAGAGAAGCGGTGAGAAACGAAACCACCAAAAACCAAGGCAGCGAAAAGCCGAGAAGCGGTAAGACCGAAAGCCGAAACGAATTGGTGAAAAAAGCGAGTGGCGAGAAAACGTACGTGAGACGAAAGTGGTAAGAGAAAAGGTAAAAAGGCGTGGGGAATTCGGTTTCCCGGGACATAGAAAGGGATACAGAAGCCTTGTGTCTCTTGCCAAAGAAACTGAGTTACAAACTGTTATTACTGCTCTGACTAATGCTGTCCAAGAAGCAGGGTTGCAGGTCGCTCCAGAGAAGATCCAACGATCTCAGCCCTGGATCTACCTTGGATGGAGGATCACACAGCAGGAGATCTCGCCCCAGCCACTTCAGATTAAGGTAAAGGACACTTTAACCTTAAACAAATTGCAGAAACTTTTAGGAGCCATCAGCTGGCTAAGGCCTATTTTAGGCTTGACCACAGAGGAGCTGCACCCCTTGTTTTAACTGTTGAAAGGCAATCCAGACTTGACATCTAGTCGATCTCTGACTATGGAGGCAAAGCAGGCGTTACAGACATGTTCTAAGGCAATCAAGAGCAGACAAGGCAGAAGGAGAAATCCTGAACTTCAAATCTGCCTTGTCCTTGTTCCTAGCAGGTTCCAACCATTTGCAGTTTTGTTTCAGTGGGACCAAACTGAACTGGATCCACTGAGGATCCTGGAGTGGCTGTTTCTGCCCCATTCACTGCCTAAAACTGTGTGGACAACTAACAAATATTTGTCAAGCTTGTCATTATAGGCAGAGGATGGCTACAGGAGCTGGACGGACAGGATCCATCGATCATCTACATCCCGGTGATGAAGGACAGCCTCGACTGGCTGCTGGCTGAAGACACTGGATTCCAAGCTGCCTTGGCAGGCTATGATGGTGACATTCCCATTCACTACCCTAAACACAGGGTTTGGGCAACTTACCCTTAAAAGCCACAACCAGATGCCAATATCAGCCAGTAAAAGGCCTCACGGTCTTTACTGACACATCAGGGCGGTCCAAAAATGCTGCAGAGACATGGGTACACCCTGCTACAGGACAGTGGGAACAGGAGGTACAGACCATAAACCATGGTTCTGTACAGGTCCTAGAACTTGCAGCTGTTTGCATTGCCTTGGAATTCTTTTCAGATCAACCTATTAATACTGTTAATGACTCTTATTATGCAGCAGGTTTGGTTTCACATCTCAAGGCTTCCTTCCTTCGGGATGTTGCAAACCCATATTTACTCGTTGAAATACGTGCTGTATGGGTTCTTGTCAATCACAGAAGGTTTGATTTTTACATAATGCATGTTAGATCACACACGGAAATGCTGGAGCCCGTAGGAGAAGGGAACCAAAGGGCAGATGCAGCAGCTAGGTTCACAACAGTGCCTAGAATGCTTGAGCAGGCTAAATTGTCTCATTCCTTTTTCCACCAGAACGCACGTTCTCTGAAGAGACAATTTCAAATTACCATCAATCAGACTCGAGACATAGTTTGTCATGTCCAGACTGCTAGAAAATAAATCCAATGCCATCCCAGGAAGGAGTTAACCCTAGGGGACTAATAGCTAATGAGGTATGGCAGACAGATGTTACACGCATACCAGAGTTTGATTGGATGAAATACGTTCACGTTGCAGTCGACACGCACTCCAAATACATAACTGCCACTGCACACACTAGAGAAAAGGCAGGGACATAATAAGGCACTGGCTTAGCTGCTTTGCAACGCTAGGGACACCAAAAAGGATAAAAACTGACAACGGCCCAGCATACACTTCAGCAAAAGTCAAAACTTTCCTGACAGACTGGGAGATCTCTCACTCCACAGGCATACTGCATTCACCCACAGGACAGGCCATGGTAGAGAGAGCACACTGTACCCTAAAGGACATGCTAAAAAGACAAAAGAAAAGGGGAGTCTATCTGTAGCCCACAGGAGTGTCTGTGGAAAGCAGCATATGTCATAAATTTTTTAAATTGTGACAGTGCTGAGAAAAGCAGGTATGAGAGACAGCACAGACCTCAGGCATTCTCCTCTCTCAGACCACTGGTCATGATAAAAGATTTAATCTCAGGGCAATGGGTGGGACTGGTGGATCTCGTGACGTGGGGAAGGGGATATGTTAGTATATCTACAGGTAAAGAACTAAAATGGATTCTCTCCAGGTGTGTCAGACCCTACATAGGTACACCCTCACAGCAGCAACAAGAACCAGAGTAATACAGAGCGAAGAATCTGCAGATAGAGATGCACACCTGATGTTTACCATTTGATAGTTGATGTTTACCATTTGATGTTTACTACTGTTAACTGTGAAAATTACCAGTGTGGCAAAATACAGTTTTGCTAAAAGCCATGGATGTGCATGTGAGGAATGGGTGCAGTGGCCACCTGTGTGTGTGCGTGAGTGAATGAAAGAGAGTTGTGTGAGTGTATAAGCACTTTAAAGACTAAACCTTAAAAGGGTAACGTTACCTCAGCCACACGGTCACGCTAGAAGAATTCAGTTCATGACGTTTACCCTGTTGTTGAAATAGAGTTGAGTTTTCCCTTTTCTACATAAACCCTGAGATAAAGGTTACATAAGTACTCCCCGGTAATGCCAAAACCCTCATATCAATAAAGTTGTTGTTTATCCCAGTTGTGTTATACTCCTTAGGAAAATAACAGTTCATGTTCATATTAAACAGGTTCAAAAGGTTAAAGAGAAAATTTCTAATAAAAAAGTAAGTTTGTTGAAGAACCAAAGTAAGCAGTGAGCTGGGTCATTGTGATACTATGGTAATTGTTAAAGGTTTTACATTTTTACATTTTTTTAAAAAAAATGTACTGTTCTATTATTTGCACTGTTCTATGATTCACCTTAAATATTAAAGTCGGGGGAGATGTAGGAAACATGTTTCAGGGATGCTGGGTGATGCATCTTGGGATTGGTAGTTTCCAAAGTATATTCTGACACACATGGGCAGTGTGAGTCCCATGGTGGTTGGCTAGGTGAATCACGTGTTATCCGAAGGTATGAAAGGTGCTGTTTTCTTCTAATAAATGGATTTGGTTGTTGGAAATCCATGCAGCCGGGTTGCATGCTTATTTTTTACTTTAATAAGCCATAAGTGCCTGGGGCAGCAAGGGGCTGTTCAGTGGCATCCCAGTCCCTCAGGTGTTACAGCAGCTCTGATCTGCCTGAGCCCCTGGATGTGATTGTGGCCACGCAACACCCAATTTTAGCCAGAGCAGGTTGTAGCTCTGCTTTTAGCTCATGGAGTCAGATGGGCCAAAAGAAGCTTCTTTGTTTTCTTTTTCCCTTTTTTTCCCAGTGATCAGGTTAATCTGATCACTACCACACATGTGAACTCCCCATCTACGGAAACTTCCCACTCCAGCAAGTGGAGGGGTATAACTGCCTTTTAAGTAGCTACATGTCCATACGGCTCTTTCCAATGGTTTCATCTTGGAAACCAGGACACTGAAGCTCCAAGAAACTTAGACCTCCTCCAGGTCTATCTCTCCCACACAGAGGACAGGAGACCCGAGTAGTGCTCAGAGGACATGACTTTCCTGGCCAGGCTGGAGTACAAAATAGACCCACAGAAGCTGCATGTACCTGTGAGAAGCAAACGGGTTAACTGTGATATTTTCTTACTCCGTCCTTTAATGTCACTCTGAATTTTTTCTTATCTCTGTCCTGTCCTGATTTCTGGTGTAAGTAGTCCACCAATGTCCACTCTGCAAAGCTGATAGTGGCATGAAGACCTAGGATGAAACTCACCCCATATTTCTGGAAATCCAGGCTCTCCTTTTGTTCCTGTTGGACAAACAACACCACCAATTTTTCTTCGACTTCCACACTCAGCACTCCCCTCCCCTAGCAGTTGGCATCATTTGCTTAGACAAATGTAGCTGCACTGGAGAGCTGTGATATTAGGGAAAGGTCTTGGCTCATCTGTGCTAAGCATGGAGAAAGGCATGGAAAAACCAGGCAGGAGCTGCTCCCAGGTCCACCAGAGGAGACCCACCTGCCCATCTGCACAGACTCAGGAAAGCACAGGGGGGCATGTGGGAACTCAAGTCATAGACCCCTGAAACTACCCCTATGACACCCAGCACACCGAGACACTGGAAGCAGCTCTGCAGGTTGCCCAAGAGTAAATGGGGTGGCTGCTAGGTGGTACACAAGCTGATGGTGCCAGGTAGCAGCACCAGGTGCTGGAGCTGAGGGCAGCACTTGTTGATGAACAGCTGGTTTGGGAGGGGTCTTGCCCACAGCACCTGGGCCGGGGCTGAGCCTATGATGGGGCACAGCTGTTACCAAAGAGCTCTAGTGGGGTACTTCCATTTCTCTATAATTGCTCCCATCTGGTGTGTTGTTCCAGAACAGTACAAGGTGGAAGTTTAACAAAGTAGCTCACATGCTAAATTCAGCACAGCATGATTTACCTTTCAGTCCTGGGAAACCAGGCTCTCCAACTGTTCCTGCAAAACACAAGAGGGAAATGCTCATCACATATGAGCAATGTAAATGAATTACTGTGGTTCCCCAGATGGCTGCTCCAGCCCCTCCATATGTCCCAAATGTACAAGAGAACCTGTCAAGAGGTGCAAAGATACGGTACTCAACTGAGTATCCCAGGTGTCGCTGCCATGCCAGTCTGGCTGTTCTCTTGATCAGCAGTATCTCTCGGATACAGCAGGAAGATCAGGATAGAGGGAAGAGAGAACTGCTGTGCCACCTCCTGAAGTGTATGGGGGATTCACAGTTCCACTTCAGTGACTTTTTGTGCGGGGTTTCTGTTTATAGTCAGCCACTTCTGAGATTTTGTGCAATAGCTGCTTTTTCAGTGGGTTTGTCCATCTCCTACTAGAGTTTCAGTTCAAGTCTTTGGTGCATTTGGCCAAGCTATTTTCCCTGCTAGTCAGTGCACTGGTGCTCAGTTCCTGGGTGCTACCTTGTACTCGTTTCTTTAGAAGAGGTACTTTTTCAATATTTGTAGTACACAGGCCCTGCTGAAGATCCTAAGCACAACCTGGGTGATGAAAGCCAGTTTCTCAACAGACATGTTCCTCTTTTCAGGGGTTCATCCTATTACAAGAAAATCTCACCCTGTGATGGATGTTTCCTGGTGGTTTGATCACATCCTTCTGATCAAGTGGGCATCAAGCACTGACTCCAAGCCTGGAGGATGCTGGAAGCACTGAGCATCATGCCTCTGCTTCAGGCCTCTGAGACGAAGCTCTACAGCGAGTTTCAAAGTTCTCAGAGCTGTGGGGTATTTGGGCAGGTTTGTTTTGTGGTGGAGGAAGGTTAATGTAGGAGTGGGGAATGGGGAGAGGCCTGATTTTAGGAGTCTGTTAAGGATCAGTGTGAACTTAGAAGAGTAGTATCTTCCTCTATGCTGTGGTTCCACTCAAGGACACTGTGCTCACTCCATGCAATAGCCATACCCCAAAATCAGGCTTTCAGTATGCTACTTCAGGGCTGTTTCTTGGACTATGGCCAACCAAGTCTCCCAATGCGTGTCCTGAGCTTAGGGAGATTTATGGATTAGAACTGAATATGTTACGCATTACCTTTTGCACCAGGTGGTCCTGCTTTCCCAGGGAATCCCTGATCTCCCGTTTCTCCTGCAAAGAAAGACTCATTTTTTATGTGCACGTTACAAACTGACCAGAAGAGAGAGGTCACAAAATCTGGGAGAGCTGAACCTTTGCTTTCACAGAAGAAAGGGAGATGGGTTTTGTTAATTACGTTCAGACTTGCAACATAGTTTACTCTTTTACCTTACTCCTTTTCTTCTGCTGAAACCTCACTACACTGGTACTGTCAGTTTAAGTCTTAATCTGCAGTTCACATAAAAATTTCTATGAACTTTTTATATCGTGGAGCCTGTCCATGGATTTGGTGGATATGCTCCCTCTGCTGATGTGATTCACCTTCTCCATGAGTTAGCTATGAAAATCCTGAGGGAACACCATCTCCCTTGCTTCCTGGGGTAGAGGATGCCAGTACAGTTCTCAAACTATTCCCCAGGAAACATGCAGGAACATCACAGCCTCCCTCCCATCCAAAGTGTTCAATACAGACACAGAGAATAAATGGATTACTTTGTTGCAAAGAAACAAATGAATTATGACACTTAGCACCCCAGGATCACTTTATGACTTTCAGACTTGTGACAGGGCTCAGGGAAGAAAAAGGTGATTCCATGTGTACCAGCACATGTCTACTTGGTGTTGTTTTCCACTCCTATTTGATTCTCCAGTTGCTAACAGCAGCCAGTGCAAAGGCTGCCACTGCTGCAGCCTCATCTGACTTCTCCTACTTAAAGCAAAAATGCCGCCCCATATCACAGTTCTCATCATTGGCTTTAGGAGTGTCATAGGTTTATTTGTTCTAAAAATCCAAGCAGAAATTTTCCTTTCACCTGTCCCACTGTAAAAGGTGTTGAACAAGGGAGGCGGAAGGATTAATTGACTATACAAAAGAACTAGCTGGTAGACCTACATTTGAGGCTGATAGCTTTCTCTAAGGCTGGGGGGTGTGTGTGGGGAGGGGGGGGGAGGTTGGGGGGAAGGAGTTTTTCCTCCCCTCCTCTCTTTGAAAAGAGGCACTTGACTCTTCTGCCTTAATGGCAAGGGCGTGTGTGTGTGTCTGTGTGAAAAGCTCCGAGGCCGTCTTGCTCTCGACATGGTCATCTGGCTGCTCTCTGGCCTCGGCTTGCCTGCACGCTGCCCTGTCTCCAGCCTGAATCTGCTCAGAATTCATCAGGGAGTTTGTGCTCATCGATGAAAAAAGTGGAGCCCTGACCACAGCCAGTCACAGACAGCGTGAGTTTAGTGGGAAGGAAACCGCCCTTCTTTCCCCTCTTCCCCTTCCCATCCTTAGTGGGGGAGAAAAACCTCCATTTTTTGGTTTCTCCCGTGATCCGGGGCCCCCACACAGCGACCACCAGAGCCAAAAAGCGCCCCATGCTGTCCAACACTGAGCAGTGCAGACTCTGCTCCTCCAGGATCCAACAGCGCTCCTGCCAACCGTGATTAGATTCGCGCTGGAGGACAGAGGAGTATCAAACTGTTTCCTTTTTTGAAGGAGACTTTTGGGTACAGGATGACTGTTTAGTTTTTTTGTGTTCTTTTGCTGCTTTTGCCAATACACATATATCCTTTAATAAAGGGTTGTTACTTTTCTTTTTATTCCATACTTCCTCGATTAGAACCTCTTAATTTCAGATTTACAATTGCTGAGAGAGAGGGGTTTGGTCTACCTCATAACTCACCCTTCTTAGCAAAACACTTTCAGTCTCATTAAACCAAGACAGGGGTCTCACCTTTTTTTCCTGGGAGACCTGGTTCTCCTTTTGGGCCAGACACACCTGGGATACCTGGGCATCCTTGGAGAATGGCAAGTCGGTCAGCATCACCCAGTCCCACTATTCTCACCTCTGAGGAAATGAAGATAGTATTTGTGGAGATTATTAGGGTTCTGAAACATTTTGGAGAGGAAGCCAAACACTCTGAAGTTGAAGAACAACTCAATCAAAAGCAATGACTGGAAAATTGGAGGTGTTGCGTGAATTAACAGCTGTTATATGAATGGCATTGAAGATCTCACATATTAGAGGAGCCAGACTCTGAATCTCTCTTGCCTCAGGAGAGTTCAGTAGGAGAAGAGGCTGATATATATGAAATGTATATGACATTGCCTGACAAATATACTGCAGCTTAATAAAACAAAACCTGAGAGGTGCACCAACGGGGTATTAACAACGGAGTAAGTGACACTGATGGATCTGTGGACTGTAAGCGTTCTTCTAAATTTCCTGATGGCAGGTCAGTTTGAAATTGCCCCTATGGCCTTCATGAGGAATACAGACAGAACACTGCATTGAGCAGCATCCCCAGGCTTCCAGGGTGCCTAGCACCCAGCAGGCATCCACCAATACTCTGTATTGTTCTGCATCCTTTGGTAACTGTGCCAAGGTACCACTGAAAAAACCCTTAACCAGGATGGAAAATATCAACAGGGACAGCCTGTTCCTAGAGGTCCCGCTGGTGACTGGGGAAGGATGTTACATCTTTAATTGGAGGTTTCTTTGTTAAGTGGTTGCTGAGACTTCAGCCTCCCCCTCCTCCCACTTGCAGTTGAATTTAAAAAAGCATAGAAGGAAAAAATCATATGCCTCTTCTCCCCCCTCAAGGTCGTTCTCTTATAGGGAGAAGTGGGACGGCAGTAATATTTGTGCTCCACTCACCTGAGCAGGTGTCCTCAGCATCACAAATAGTCGTTGTCAGACTGAGCAGTAACAGGAGGGCTGGAGCTGCCCTCCCCATGGCCAGCGCTGCTCTCTGCTCTCTGCACAGTTTCTCTCAGCCACCTCCCAGGGACTGTGGTCAGCACTGACCCATCTAAGCCTTTTATATCTAACAAAGAGCTCCAGTATAAGCTCCACCTCTGCACTTGCCCACTGGGGCCTGGCTAGGTCTCAAGCTGTTTCCCTGATAAGCCACTTTCCACGAGTCCGTTTGGAAAAATCTTGCCCAGCTGCCCCCACTGCCTCACCTCTGCCCTGTTAAAATTCTGGATGGCTTTCCCTTTTCATACTGTGTTTCTAGAGAAAATGAAACTGCAAAAACTGGTTTAGCTAAGTGTAGACATCCTTCCTCATCCTGCCTGCTACCCTTTGTGAATAGCAGAACTTACTATGTAGATGGGGAAAATGAGTCACTGGGAGTAAAAAACCCAAGGTCAGCTCAGGCCAGAGGCAGAAAGAAGTACAGAGCCTGGCTCACACTGCAGCACTGCCTGCCCACCAGTGCAGCACCACTTCCCAACCCTTCAAAGGGAGGCTTCTGTTTATCCATGAACCATGAGTGTCATGGAATTCACACTCTGTGCATCCAGGAAAGGGTAGGTAGGCGGAGCATATTTGAATTTTCCCCCCCACCTTTCCATTCTATTATCAAGCAGAATCTCTTGTTTGCTTTCTTGTTGCTGTGCTCTGCTCATTTGTGGCAGCGTTACTAGAGGTCCAATATGCTACATATGCAGTTCCTGGGATGAAATTAGATCATCATCTTTCTTCCTTCAGAAGGAAGCCTTCCAGAAGGAAAGAGAAAACGGGTTAGCAGGTGCTAGGGAGGGAGAGATCTGTGCAGAGCAACTCTAGGGTGACTGGGAACTTGTACACCTCTCTTTTCTCATCTGTACAGCCCGTGCTGCCCATTTGGGATGGACCAAGAGGCAGGTGAAGGAGAAGTAGAGCCAGCCCCAAGCACTGAGAAGCTTTCTCATGCCCAGTGCCTCTGCTCTGTGTATGGAAAAAGCTGCAATACCTTGTTCCAATTATCTAGAGGCAAAAACATTTGCCTTCAGCTGTTCCCTTTGGTAAATCATTCCATAAAAGCAAAGGCCTTGCAGATTACCCCGTTGTTATAGTCTCTCAAGGGCTTGAGGCTAAATCTGTCCCAATTAAAAAATAATATAAAAACCCCCAAACTTAAGAATGGGTTTGCCCAGCTTTACCCAGTTTTTCCATCAGGAGGATCCAGCTCTGGTTTGGGCTGAGATGTGCATTATGGGGACAGCTGTGATGTGTCTGCTCACCACTGATGCATTCAGTGGTAACAGCTAGGTGCATCCAGCCTGTGGAACACCATTTTCTCCCCACTTTCATCTCAGAGAGCAGCACTGTCCTTGTCGATGCAGCTACTTTTACTTGGAAGCAGAGAGGAAACTACCAATGAAAAAGCTCAGTCCAAAGTAGGTCAGACTCCCGAGGGTAGATTTTGAAATTAGCCCAGTGATCAGTATGTCCTTAATTGCTTTTTCTCATCCCAGCACCCGGTAAAGATTGCAGAGGGCTGATCATTTATAACATCAGAAATTCTTTTGTATATTTACATTCTTTCTTGAGCCCTGGGAAAATCCCCCTATGAGCCTTGAAATTCAAGGGTCAATTGAGGATGAGAAAAGAATTCTAAGCACACCAGGTGAATGGGAAGCACCTCTGAACATTGTGACCAGTCAGTTCACCTCTACAGACATAAGTGCCAAGAATGAAATTCCCAGAATTGAACTCATGTATAAATCCCTAAGAAATCAGCTTAGGAAATCAGAAGGCATAAAGAGCTTCAAAAAGTTCATGTGGGAGCATCATAACTGTGTTTAACAGGGGAATTAGCACTGATTAATGCAAACGTGTAGGTGGAATCCTGGTTTCTAGTGGAGTCCTAGGTCTCCACTTCCACCAGATTGCTGGAGTTTTGCAGGGAGGATGGACAGAGAGCGAAAGTTGTAACTACAGAAAAAACAAGCAGCAAACCCCTCTGCTCTATGGTAACCTCAGGACATTGCCATGCAAGTCCTAAAGCTGCAAGAAGGATAGATGATGGGCACTGGGAGGTGGGAGGTAAACTCTGACAAACCTCACTTTAAGGAATGTAAAATAAAAGTTTGCATGAGATTTGGCACCATTACGGGTACTCAAGGGGAGCTTTCTTGTGCTTTGGAGACTAGTCATGCTGGGAAAGGAGTAGTGTCAGCCTGCAAGGATAAGGTCATCATCCAAAGCAAAAAAGAAAGATGTTCTTCTGGCTTGGCCTATTCACAGCTCTTATAAATATTATGTGTGAATAACGAAGTTTTTCAGGTTTTCTTCTTTGATGAACACTTACATTTCCAAGGTAGGATTTCTTCATCCCATAACCAATCTCAGTATCTGTGGTGGAGACATTTGCCCAAGCTAAGATAGCAGAATTTTTTTCAGAAAATGTCCCTTGTTTATTCCTTTCTGCTTCTTCATTTTGTGAACACATATCACCTTTGGGTGCTAGAGCCCCTTGGCAATAAGAACCCTACCGCTCATTTCCCTTCTCCCTACCACGAAATCTGTTGCAAGACCCAGAAGCTCCAAAAGAGCATAGGTTGAATTTCTAGGCAGTTAGAATTATTCTTGCCATGAAGCGGAAATGCAGTGTTGCCCAGCTCACACTTTGGGTTTCATATGTTACATTGCTTCACTCTGCATTCCAGGGCAGCTTCAAGGGAAGCTCCTGGCTGTGAGGAACTCAGGCTGCTGGTTTCACTGCTCTTGACCCACAGACTCTTCCTACTGGGCAGAACAAAGCCAGCTTTTCCCAGCTGGTGCAAGCTGTAGCATTTCTTAGTACTGGCAGCCATGCAGTGCAGTGCTTCATGAACACAGACCACCCACTTTCAGCCTGTGTCTAGGGTCTCCTTCCCCACATTTCCATACATCGATTTTGGGGTACAGTGATTTCCTAATTTCATCTTGATTTGCTATATCCTTAAAGTTTGCGAGTTCCAGGATGTCCTTGACTAAGGGATGCTGCCTGTTCCCCTGATTAGGTCTCCTGTCTTCCTGATTAGGCTTGAAAGTATAGAAAGATCCTACATCAAAAACATCCTGACGTAAATAATCTTAACATATTCCACATTTTGCAACACCAGCAGAGAACAAATGTGATTCTGAAAACATGATGTTATGTTTCTAAAACTTCTTTATTTTTTTCCTCAGTATCACAGTTTTGTAGGGAACTTCAGAACAAATAAATTTCAAAAAATTCTGTGGTTATGTAAATTCAGCTTCCCAGGAATGCTTCAATGTAGAGAAGATAGCTCAAAATAAGGTAACTCTCACCTTCTTTTCCAAACTTACCCACCCATATCAAGACGCATTGTGGTATGTAATACCTGGTCTGAAGCATCCTGGGAGCATGAGCTCCCATGCACTGGCATGCCATGAACCGAGACACACATCTTTCTACAACCACAGATTCATTCACCTATGATCCCCATTTGCTGGGTTTCTCCCTCTCATACATATGGTTCCTGAGCTCTAATACAAATTTTTACTAGCAAGCTATCTGCACATAGTCCTGTCTTTCTAATATAGAATTTCCCTCTCCTTCAGCATAGCTCCAACTCATCCAAAGTCCCTGCATGTAGCAAACCAGGTCCATCCAGTCTCTGCTTTGAGCTTCAGGTGAGAGTTTTTAATCTACTCACAAGTCCCTTGATTGATGATCCCTGTCTGATCCCCTGCTATCTTACTGCCATCATACCTCAGTCTGGGCTTAGTTTAGGCTGAGACAGCAGCACAGAGACAATGATGCCTCCTTTGCCAACTGAGACCTGGAGTTCAGCTCTCCAGAACTACTTTCTGACTTTCTTCTAGAAGGCAGAGAGTACCTTCTCATTTCTTTTCTGTGCAGAGGGAGCCCCTAAAAGAAAACCTGCAAAAGTACATAATCTGCTACCTTCCTTGTTTTAATGGTCTGTATTCTGAATTAAAAATCCATCTTGATTTATTGACAGAAAGAGCAAAGACAGACCATTCAATTGATTGCAATAAATGACTATTTCTGAAATAGCAACCAAACCTCCAGTTACATAAAAGCATAATGAACGTTTCTGTTTCAGCTTCTGTTTCCCAACCCCCAGTTGTATCCATGACCTTTACATATTCACTAACCACTTGGATGCTGTTAGATTTGTGGTTATTTGAGAAAGAGGATTATTTTTGCGTAAAGAAATAATATTATGTACCGAAGTATAAACACAATCTAGGAAAAAATATTTTAAATATATTTTTGCATACATGAAAAAGCAATAAAAAACCCCACATTACGGACAAACAAAATCCTGTCTTCTTTCCATGAAATGGATGTTAATGTTTTTGGGTTTACAGGGTCTTGCAATCCATGAAAGAGTTAAAGTACCACGTTAAATCACCCACTGAAGTGGTAATTTCTGAAATCAAGGGACTCCAACATGCCAAGAGAGATCAGGGTGGTGGACCTTGAACTAAGAGTTTGTTTCTTTTGAAAACTAAGGAGGCTGTCCTGCTGAACACAGCATTTCCAGCCTCATAAATTTCATGCCTGAGTAAGAGCCATGAGCTGTCACTCTGGAAAAAACTGCTACTGCTTGAAGGTTCCCAGAAGGGTGTCATCTACACCCCTTGGTTATTTGCAATGATCAAAAAAAGGACAACAGTCATCTTTGTTAGTGTACGGGCTGTTGCCATATTCATGGAGAAAATGGCCAACACAAAGATGGTTTCATTCAGCAGGGAACAGTTCATCTCGAGGTATTAATTAGCAACAACCTTGAATATTTCTTAAGAAAAACAACATTAAATAATATCGTTAATATATGACATGCTTTCTTGGCTGGCCTCTAAAAGGACTTTGTGCTCTTCCCATGCAAGCCTCATCCACTACAAGAATGTTTTGAGCTCATTGTTGAATCTTTCTATCCATCTCAGTTATTATAATTCCAAAGGAAATACAAGAGAGTATAGAATATGTTCCGTAGTATTCAAATGTCTCCTTCACATAGTCTCCTTCCTCCATT